AGTTGTCTTTTTCTTCTATTGTCCTATTATTCCTTATATTTATTTGGAACATTTAGTCTGTTTATATTTAATGTAATGCTGATATATTTGGGTTTAAATCTACCATCTTACTGTTTGCTTTCTTTTTTTTTGGTTGCACCTAATTTTATTTTCTTTATTCCTTTCTTTCTTGTCTTCTTTTGCATTTATTTTTATTTTTTGTTTTGCTTTAGTTAGCTTTATTGAGATGCAGTTTACAACAAAAAAACTTACCAAGTGTACCGTTCCATGAGTTTTGGTAAAAGTACACACCCATGTGACCATCACCACAATCAAGATGTGGAACATTTCTGTTATCTGGAAAATTTCCTCCGTGCTCCTTTGCAGTAAGTCCTCTGCACCCACCACAGCCCCTGGCAAACTCTGATCTGCTTTCTATCACTATAGTTTTGCCTTTTAATTATACAACATTTAGTCTTATGAGTCTGACTTTTTTTTTCACTTAGCATGCTTTTGCAATTCGTTATTGGGGGTTTTCTTATCATTCCATTTTTTTCCCCTCTCTATTAGCTTGGAAGTTATATATCTACTGTTATCTTTTGGTGATAACTGTTGGGATACAGTTCTCCATGGGTCTCGCATGTTTCTGTACATCTTGTGAGCAGAGACACTGACTACCTTTGTTCCAGGCTATCTTTACAAGGATGTTTGTATAATATACAGCCTTGGAAGATAGAGCTAGGTCTCCCTCCAGAGCAAAGGGCAGGTTTGCTTACTGTCCTATGTAATAAAGAGAATATCTTCCTCCAGAGCAAAGCTTAGACAAATTTGCTTATTGACAATTATAGAAGATTCAAGTGCCCTACACTCAGAGTTTCTCTCTTTTAATGCAACATGAGCAGGTGTCACCTGACCCTCTTTATGTCACCCTGTGGGAACTGGATCCCAGGGAATTGGCACAAATGCTGATACTCTGGCTACTGCTATTGCCGTGAGTAATAAATCGCCCTTTGTCTTTGATCCAGGAATCTTGTGTCTTCTGCCAGCATCCAGGGAATTGTGTCAGGCCAACTTGTTAGTTTGCAAGTAGGGTAAAATCTGAACCCCTTCCCAGTTCTTGATACAACCCTAGAGATTGTAACACACATCCTTGGCCTTGCTGAAGTATAATTGGTACTTTAGCCTCTTCCAGGACAATGAAACAGTCTTAGAACCCTTTAACTTCGTTAATCCCCCCAGGCTTCTACGCCATGTGTTGTTTTTTTAATAATACTTTTATTTTAAGCCCAATAAGACATTATACTGTCAATATTTATTTAGATTCACCCACATTTTTACCATTTTCATGGTGCTTCATTTTTTCCCTACATCTTTGAACATCCATCTGGGATCAGGTTCCTTCTACCTGAAAAAATCGTTTTATATTTCCTTTTGTTAGGTCTGCTAATAACAAAGTCTCTCTCTCTCCCTTTTTTTTTTGTGTGACTAATGAAATGTTTTAATTTCAACTTCATACTTGAAGGGAAGTATGCTGGGCGTAGAATTCTCACTGGCATTTATTTCCTTTTTGCTCTTTAAGGATATCAGTCCATTATCTCTGGAAATCTCTGGCTTCCATTGTTGAGAAGCCAACTATCAGTCTAATGGTTGCCCTTTGAAGATAGCCTTTTTTCCTTGCTATTTTTAATATTTTCTCTTTGCATTTTGTTTTCAGCAGGTGTGACGTGGCACATGGGTCAATTATTGCTGTGTTATAATATGTTGACCAGTAAGTGTCATTCTCAGTTATTGCTGTATAACAAACTACCCCAAAACTTAGTGGCTTAAAACAGCACCAGTTATTTAGCCCACAAATCTGTAATTTGAGCAGAGCTTAGTAGGAAAGCCTCAGTCCTGTCCTACATGGCATTAGCTGGTGTGGCTTGTCTGCAGGATCCACTTCGAAGATGACTCCCTCACAACTGGCAAGTTGGTGCTGGCTGTTGGCTGTTCATATGGGGCCAAGAGTCATCTCTGTGGCTCGCCTCAGGTTCCCTGTGGCTTGGTGGTGGGTCCCAGGAGAAGAGAGGTAGAAGCTTCCAGTCTCTTAAGGCCTTGGTCCAGAAACTAGGGTAGCATCACTTTTGCCATATTCCATTGGTAAAGCAGTTACAGAGCCAGATTATAGGATAAAGAGACCAATTCCCACTGCTCAGTGGGAGGCATGTCAGGGAATTTGAGGACCATGTTTTAAAACCTCCACAAGGTCTCTAAGTTTGGATTTCTGTTTATTTTTCTTTTGTAGGGGAGGGCTCATAGGTATTTTAAATCAGTAGAATAATGTTTTTCATCAATTTTGGAAAGTTCACAGACATTAACTCTTCAAATGTGGCTTCTGTCCAGTTCTTCTCCTGCTCTGTTTTTGTGGCTCCACTTATATGTATGCTACATCTTTTTGTTACGTATCCCACGTCGCTTATCTGCTTTCCTCTACTTTCCATCCTTTTGTCTCTCCATGCTTTCTTCGGTTTACTCTTTTCAGACCTGTCTTTCTGTTTGCTAGTTTTCTCTTCAGCATTTATCCAATCTGCTATTATACCTAGCTGTTGAGTTCCTAATTGTGGTAATTGTATTGTTTAATTCTGTAACTTCCATTTGCTTCTTTTTTTTTGTAGTTTAAAGTTCTTCGCCAAAATTCTAAATCTTCTGCTTTATCCTCTTGAGTATTATCACAAAGTTTCTATCAGATAACTTCAATATTTGCATCCCCCCACTTATAGATCTGTTTCTGTTGTATGTTGTTTCTGTTAATTTTCTTTCATATGATCTTACCTCCTTGTGTGCCTGGTGAGTTTTGATTATGTGCTTGACCTCGGATTTGCAAACATGCTTGTAGAAATAATTTGAAGCCTAGCTCGGCGTTTCCTTTATATTTGCTTCTCCTGTGGACCTGGAAACACTTTCAATGAGGATACCTCAGTCCAGTTTCTGGAACTGAAATTATTTGAGGCTGAGCTGCAGTCCCTCTGAGGGTCTGTCTACTTGTGGCTCACCCTTACTCCTGGGGTGTAGTCCTTTAGGATCCCAACCCAGAGTAAGAGGTGGTCACCAGGGCTCTCCCCTTGCAGACCCCTGGCCTCCAATCCCTGTCCCCTGAGCCTGTGAGGTGGTTAATGCTACTGTGTGTCCCTCCAGCCTCTCAAGTAACAGCAGCCCTAAACACTGGGCTCAGTCCCTGGGTTTCCATAATTCCTTCCAGCCTGGCACTTTGTCACTCTCTGATAAGGTATCCAGTGCCTCAAACAGATGCTTTTTATATTTTGTCCAGCATTTCTGGTTGTCCCCAGCTGACATTCTGGTTCCCATTACCTAGTCTGCCATTAATGCAAGTGGAAGTCCTCAGAGAGATCCCGTTTTCTTTTGGATTATTCCCATCAGCATTCAAATGTCTGATTGCACTTTCCGCATTAGCTGTCTTTATTTGGTCCCCTCTATGACAAAACTCCTCAAAAATATCATTTATACTTGCTGCCTCCAATTCCTCACGTCCCGTTCTTTCTTAAACCCATTCTGATCAGGCTTTGGTTCCCACCATGCCAACAAAAGTGCTCTTGTCAAGGTCACTCATGCCTCAGGGATGCCACATCCAGTGATCGGCTTCTAGTTGTCATTATGTTGAACACAGCAGCAGCATTTAATACGGAGCACGTCCACGTTAAGAGGCTGGTGAGATGAAGCAAAAACCAGCCAAGGAGAATGAGGAAGGGCCCTTCCGTATCCTCTTTTGCTCTCTTTGTTTTTCTATAGCACTTAGTCCCTGGTAGTCTATTTAATGTACTTTCTAATTTGATTTTTACCTTACTTATCTTGTCGATCTCCACTATAAGAACATAGGCTCCAGGAGGGCAGGGTCTGTTGTCTGTGTTGTTCATGAATTCACCCCTCCATTTAGAACAGTGTCAGGCACAGCTCAGGTGATCAGTAGGTATTTGCTGAGCACTTGCACCCTGGGTGAGAACAGGCTGGCCCTGTGGAGCTGACGCTTTCTGGACACTACCTCCACTAGACCCTGGCTGGCCGCTGGGCTTTAGAGCTGGATAGGACAAAACCTTCAGGTATGTGGAAAGCCCTGGACAGAACTTCAAGTAACCATCATTAACATGTAATTATTACAGTTTTTAAAGTGCTTACACATCACTATCTCATCTGATCCTCACAGCACCTCTATGAGTTAGGTGGGACAGGTCCAATTAGTCTCATGTTTCAAATAGGGCTCAGAGAGGGAAAGAGTTTTTCCAAGGTCACACAGAAACTTAATAGCAGACCTTGGACTCAAACACAACTCTTTAAAAATGAACAGAACTTTTTTTTCTGATTATAAAAATTATATAGATGCATTGTAGAAAATTTAGAAATTACAGAAATGGGTAAAGAACATTTAAATTATTATACTACCATCCACATTTTTACATATTTCCTTGCAATCTTTTTTTTATACAATTTAGATCACATTGTATCATACAAAATTTGTATCCTGCTTTTCTTACTTACCATTACAAAATAAAAATTTCCCTGCTTTTTAACATCTCATTTTAACGGCTGCATAGTATTCCACCACCTAGATGTACCACAATTTATATAATATTCTATTGCTGGGCATTTAGGTTAAACAACACTTATTTACATCCTACTATGTGTGAGGCGCCAGGGACTTAAGACATGGCAGTCATATTAGAAGTGGGTTTGTGACAGGGCTTTGGGAAAATAAAATATGAAGGCATTACATGGTGATATTAAAAAAAGAAAGAAAGAAAAAATCTTTTCAAATAAAAAGCAAGTCCCAGCTCCATTTAGATGTGTGTATGTGTGTGAGGGGCAGGTGGAGGTGGGGGAAGTGAGTCTGGCCAGAGTGGTCAGTCCACAGCCAGAGGCAGGCAGTGACCCATTTGTGGGGACCAAGGCTTCTGATTTCAGCAGGGGTGTGGGCCGACGGTCCCGCCTGGCTCATTTCCACATCTTCCTCCTCTGTCCTGGCTCCGCAGGCTCTTCCAGCTGGAGGCGGAGGCCGATGCCCTGGTGAACTTCCAGCAGTTTTCTTCCCAGTTGCCACCCTTCTATGAGAGCTCCACCCACGTCCTGCACATCGAGGTCCTGCAGCAGCTGACCGACCTCATCCGCAGCCACCCCAGCTGGTCGGTGGCCCACCTGGCGGTGGAGTTGGGGATCCGAGAGTGCTTCCATCACAGCCGCATCATCAGGTGGGCGGGGGGTCTGCCAGGTGGGGCAGAAGGACAAGACTACTGGGACAGTGTGTGCACCTGTGTGTGTGGATGGATGGGGCCATGGGGAGTCTCTTGGTCCTGCCTTAGTTCCCCTCTGTAAAGTCAGAGGTTGCCCAGAACGTTTGACTCAAGAAGGGGCAGCATTGCCTCTAGGTTAGAGCAGACGGATGCTGACTAAAGTCAGGAGGAGAAATGTAACATTTCTGGAGTGCCTACCAGGTGCCAGGCCCATGGCAGCTGTTTTATATCCGCCATGAACTTAAATCCTCCCAACACCCCCAGGAAGTATCATCATCCCAGTGAGAGGTCATGTGACCTGTGCAAGGCCACTCAATTGGAGAGGGCTGAAAAGGCTTCAGATCCCTGGTGTTGCCTTCCAAAGATCTGGTCGCCCTTCTGGAAGGTGGAACACTTACGTTCATGCATCCGTCAGCCAACACTTGTGTCAGTGGCTGCCCCCTGGTGCGGGCGCTGTGTTGGCGCAGGACTCCAGCCTGCCATCTTGGCCAGAGGTGGCCACACCTCTGGTTTTCTGCCCCAGAAAGCTCAATGCAGCTCCCGGGCCCAGAGCTCAAAAGTATTCACTGCCCTTTACAGTTTGCAGGCATATTCTTGGACATCGTGGTGTTTAACCTCACAACAGTTCTATCCATTTCATGGGGCAGACACAGCAGGTATTTTTATTTTTTTGTGGATAAGGATATCAAAGCCTAGAAAGGATAAGTGAATTGCCCAAGGTTGGTGAGATTTCTGCCTTCTGCGGTCCTTTCTATGCCACCTCACTGCCCACACCCACAGGCTGGTCTGGCCCTGGGGCACATCTCTCATACAGGTGTACAAACTAAACTAAAAACAGATACAAATCACATCAGATACAAATAAACTGTGACTCGGCCCTAGGTTTGAACCTGCCAGCTCAAGCATGGCGTGAGTGCTCTTGAGCTCCCGGCCCCCTTCCTTCTGCTGCGCTGGGGTTTCTCAGAGCCCCGCCCACCTGGTGTCATGCCCGCTCACCTCCCTGGCCCTCCCCCGCAGCTGCGCCAATAGTACGGAGAATGAGGGGGGCTGCACCCCCCTGCACCTGGCCTGCCGCAAGGGCGACGGGGAGATCCTGGTGGAGCTGGTGCAGTACTGCCACGCCCAGATGGACGTCACCGACAACAACGGAGAGACGGTCTTCCATTATGCTGTCCAGGGTGACAGTTCCCAGGTGCTGCAGGTGAGCAGGGGTGGGGGCAGGGTGACTGGTGCTGGGGACGCCTCACTGTGCCTGCAGCTGTCTTTGGGCCCTTGGCCTCAGGTGTCACTCGGGCCTCTCACTATCCCCCCTTGGTCCTTGAGGCCTGAGCTCTGTCATGGAGGGTGCACTCCCCACCCCACTCTTCCCTCCCCACACCTGTCAAGAGGACACATCCTTGGCTGCTTTGCTCTGACAACCCTGGGAAAGTCCTCCAACACAGCAAACTAAACTCAAGGCCCAGTCCAGTCAATCCATTTAGTTCTGATTTCCCCAGCACCTGCTGTGAGTGGTACCCGGGCCGGGTGAATTCATTTCAGCCCCTGCCTGGAGCTGCTTATGGTCCAGTGGGCCCTGAGCTTAACTTTTTACAGGAACTCAAAGCAGACAAAACAAAACTCAATCTGGCTCTGGTAGACATTTACACCAGAGGCCCTCCTTCTGTGAAATTTTTGATTAGCTGGGCAGAAAAATAAAAATAAAGATTGTGAGCGAGTATATCAAGTGGTGTTATTAAAGCCTGCTTTATATATTAGAAAGAAAAGACAGAACACTGGACAATGTTTTATTGCCTAGAATTAGATTTTTCTAAAGGCTATATCCTTCTTTCTGCCTTGGCATCAGAATGGAACTACATTATTGCAGAAAATATGGATTCATGTCTATGGTTCGTGCTCTCAGGGAAGGGAATTCCACTCCCATTGTTGAACTCCACGCTTACTCAGAGCCCACATGTGCCCAGCACAGTCCCACGCAGAGCTGGCGTCGGTGCAAGGGGCATGTGCCTGCTCTCTCGTCAAGAGTCACCTACACCTGTGGCTGCCATTTGCTGCACGCTGGTCTTGTGCCTGCCCTATACTGAGTGTCATATGTGTTCTAGTTAATTCTCAAAATACCCTCTGTGGGTGGGTGTCACTATCCTCTTCTCGCCCAAGAAACTGAAGTTCAGTGAAGTTAAGAAATGTGCCTGAGGAGGGCCCCAGAGCTGTGAGTGGTGGGGCTGGCCCTTGAATCGGGTCTCCCTGCTGTGTCCCCATCCTGCCATTAGGCCCAGCTGGTCACAGAGGTACACAGGGGTTGTAATTAACCTATGGAGGCACCATTCAGCTGCAAGTGAGCAAGTAAAAGCCTCTGTGCTCTCTTTTTAATACTGATATTTTTTTTAATTGAAAAAATAATACCTGCGCATAGCAAAAAAATTCAAGCAGGACAGAAGGGTATACAATAGAAAGCAAAGATCACTCCCACCAAGGCCCCAGTACCCATCCCTGGATACAACCTCCTGTTAAGTTTCTTGACTCAGAAATTTTTCATACGTGCCACAGTCGTGCCCACCAACCCCCCAGCCGACACTGGTACCGTCGGCTTCTTTTTTTTCCTCCAAAGCCTCCTCTCTCTGCTGCTTCCCTTTAAGTTCCCATCAGTGTTCCCGTGGAGTCAAACCTCCCTTTCCCCTGAGTCCCCGGAGAGAGACTGCCTTGGTTGGTGTTAGGGGAGTGCCGTGCTCCAGCCCGCCCTGATGTCATGCTCTCAGCTCCTAGGGAAGAATGCCTCGGCCGGCCTGAACCAGGTGAATAACCAAGGGCAGACGCCGCTGCACCTGGCCTGCCAGATGGGGAAGCAGGAGATGGTCCGTGTGCTGCTGCTGTGCAACGCTCGCTGCAACATCATGGGGCCCGGCGGCTACCCCATCCACACGGCCATGAAGTTCTCCCAGAAGGGGTAAGACCTCGCGCCCCGCCCCGCCCCGCCCGGTCCACTGGGCCTCCAGCTCTCGCACGGCCAGTCCTCACGCCGAGGTGAGCAGTGGCCTCCACTGGCTCCACATTAGATGTGTATCAGCTACTGGCGCCAAGGGCTGGCCTGGCACAAAGAAGGTGCTTGATCAATGTGTAGCGGGTGTTTGTCTCGGTCCACAAACTCTGCTGTGCAAAGAATAGAACTTTTAAAATTGTTCTATAATGCACCTTAATTTCTGACCATGATCCTCCCTTTACCAAACTGGAGAAAAACTATCTTAATCTCCCCCGGAGTCCCCCCTGCCCAGCTCCCCCAGGTGGTGCTCCAGTGCTAGAGTCTCATGCAACCTCAAGTCTTGGAGGGGCTCACCCCACGCGGTCCTCTTCCACCCGAGCCCACCAGCCTGGTCTGAACCCCTTCACGGTTGCAGTGCTCTGTGGCTTCTGTGCCCGACTCGAAGCCCAGGCATGCTGGGCAAGATGGCCCAGGGCCCCATCTACCTAGATGCATCTGTCCTTCCTGGCTGGTGGCACTGCTGGGACACAGGTGCCAGGCCCACGTTTTGGGGAGCCCTAGACCACTCTCTCATATCTTCCCTTCTCCCCAGACCTGGAAAACCCTGGTCTCAGGAAAATTCTTCTCCCTGGGGAGAGTGTGTGTGTGTGTGTGTGTGTGTGTGTGTGTGTGTGGTGGGGGATGGGGGTGGGATAAAAGAGATGACTATCTCAAAATATTACCCAGTAGGAACAACATCTTGAATGAATGAATGAATGAGTCAATTGGTCCCTCAGTCCCAGGCACTGTGCTAAGCGTCGGCCTTACGGAGATGCATATGGGAGCAGCTTCAGGACAGGAGACACAGAAGTCCACTGGTACTTTCCATGGCTGCGTGCTAGACAGGCAGTGAGAAGAGAGCACGGAGGGTCCACAGTCATGGGGGGTGAGGGGGCAGGCACTGTCGCCGTCCCTCAGGGTTTTCCTTCCTCTGGGGTCTGCACCCACCTTGCTGGCGCCCGCCCTGGCACTGCCATCCCCTCACAGGTCTGGTCCAAGCTTGGGCAAACTCTCCTTTCCTTGACTCTCCCTAGCAGAGCCAAGATGAACTAGAACTTTCAGAAAGACTTGACCAAATGGTTGGAGACAGTACCGACACCGTGCTCACCCCCAGGAGTCAGGTTACCTAATTGCAGGTTGTGACCCAAATGGACACAAGTGACGGGAGGATGCTCATCAATACCCAAGGGCTGGCATGGTGGCCCCACTCTTGCTGGCTCCAGCCACCCTAAGCTTTCCTGTCCAGCAGCCTGGAATTGCTCAGGTTGCTCTGTCCTCAGACATCCTCAGCCATGTTCCCTCTCTGCTCCACCCGGGCCTCCCAGCGGCTGGCTCAGATCACGAGAGGATCATTGCACTTAAATTGACGCAAGTCATCTCAAACCTTGGGTGTGCACTACCGCCGTACATGGCCACGTTCCTCACAGGGTCACAAGGCCCCAGTGGGGACATCCCTCTGCCACCCCCGTGTGTTAGCCAGCATAGCTGTACTCTAAGAATCTCAGGTGTTTGGGTTACTGAGAGTGGTTCCCTCCCAGCTCCGACCTGGGAGTCCCTCTGCTGTTTGCGTCAACTCTGCTGACCTTCACAGAGATCCGGTTTGGGCCTGGGACTCCGGTTTCACGTAGCATAATGTCTTCAGGGTTCATTAGCATCGTGGCATGTATCAGAATTTCCTTCCTTTTTGAGACAGAATAATACTCCATTGTACGCATGTACCGCATTCTGCTTATGCATTCATCCATCACTGGACACTTGGGTTGTTTCCACCTTTTGGCTATTGTGGATAATGCTGCTGTGAACATGGGCATAAAATATCTGTTCGGGCCCCTGCTTTCAGTTCCTTTGGTTTTATATCTCGGAGTGGAAAGCAACTGCGCTCTTAACCACCCTGCCTACTGCTTCCTGCAGGATGCAGGTCACCGCATGAAACACCAGCAGTGGAGGGGTGGGGGGTAGAGGGAGGCTATGTGCCATGCATAGAACCAGGTGCTGAAATATCTCGTCTCCTTTAATCTCCACCCAGGCCTGTTATGACTGTCCCCATGTTGTAGACGGGCTGAACCACTTTCAGAGGTCACCAATGAGGAAGGTGGGCTTGACCTCAAGCCTGTCTGACTCTAAAGCCAGCACCAGTGAGAGTGATCATTGCTGACTGGGGTCATCAGGGAAGGCTTCCTGGAGGAGGAGGCTTGAGCAGTGCCTTGAGGGGTTCAGGATACCCTTGACATACCATGGTATACATGCTGGTTGGTTTTGTTGCAACTTTATTTGCAGAAACTCTCCCTGACCAGTAGAAGAAGCCCTGAGTCTGGCCTCTTCCAGCGCCAGGCCGCCCCCTGACCTTCCTCACTGCCCCATGGCTCCCCTCTCCCTAGGTGTGCTGAAATGATCATCAGCATGGACAGCAACCAGATCCACAGCAAAGACCCTCGCTATGGGGCCAGCCCCCTCCACTGGGCCAAGAATGCAGAGGTAGGCAGAGTCTGAGGGTGAGTGGGGGGGGGCAGGGGGCAGGGGGCAGGGCCCCAGAGCCCTTGGCTGCTCAGCTGCCTGCGGGAAGGAGGTTCCTGAGAGGGCTCTGAGGATGGCACTGGGGGGTTGATCTCCTGGTGGCCGCCCAGGCAGATAAGCCCAAGTCGAGGTGCATCCTGGTGTTGCCCTGCTGCTCACTGGCCCGGTGACGGTGTCCCCTCTTCATGTATGAATGGGGGTTTCTTCATGTATGAATGGGGTGTCCTATGGCCTGCCTTTGGAGGTGTCGTGAAGTCAGCGAGGTAGCGTGTGAGAAAACTCTTCCTAAATTGTCAAGTGACTCGCAAATAGAAGGTGGTGGATGGTGATGGTGGTGGTAGTGGCGGCTCTAGCTGCATCCACAGAGAGCCTGGCTGGGCATCTCTTCTGAGGCCTTTCCCTGAGCCATGATCCGCACCCCTGGGAGGATGGAGGCCTCTGGTCTCTCGTCTCCAAGAAGCACAGCTTGGCAGTGCACTGGGTGCCCCCAAAGATCATGGCCTGTTCGTGAGCATGGTGGCCCAGGAGGGAGGAGACTCTGCAGGGCACCTCTTCATGCCGGGAGCTAGACCCCTAGTCAGGCCCTTTCGGGCATGTGTCCTCATTCATCGTCACCACACTCTGTGAGGTAGGGACGTGCATTCCCGTCTTCACAGCAGAGAAAACTGAGGTGCAGTGGGTGCAGTGACCCTTCCAGGCTCAAATAACTGTGATGACCTGGGGCTGGGCTTTGGGCTCGGGCCTGTCAGGCTCCGAAGTCCAGGCTCCTGTCTGCGGCCCAGGCTCCCCAGAGCTGCTGGGGGAGCAGGGATGTGTGTGCTGCTCAGACCCCGGGAGGGGTCACACCTTTGCAGGGTCCCGGGGAGGGCCGCAGGCAGTGGGCCAGCTCTGGGACAGGGCCCAGAGGAACCCTTGCAGGGGGGATGGCATCCTATGAGCTCCAGGAAAGGACCCGGAAGCTTCTTAAAACAGTCGGCACACCTTCAGCTTTTTGTCCCCTAGTTCCTGGGGTGCTGATGGAGTGGGAGCCAGGGTCTAGGGCCACCCCTGGAAGTGGGGCCTGCCACCTGTGTTCTTCTTGTTGCTAGAGCTTTCCAGGGGCCCAATTCCTGAAGGCCTCTCAGGGAGGAAGTGGCCGTGCCCAGGTGCCGTCAGGTGCTGCAGGTCACAGCTGCTCCCAGTGCCCTGCTGACTCGGGCCTGACCTGTGTCCCACAGATGGCCCGCATGCTGCTGAAGCGGGGCTGCGACGTGAACAGCACCAGCTCCGCAGGGAACACGGCCCTGCACGTGGCTGTGATGCGCAACCGCTTTGACTGCGTCATGGTGTTGCTGACCCACGGGGCCCACGCTGATGCCCGCGGAGAGCACGGCAACACACCGCTGCACCTGGCCATGTCGGTGAGCCCGAGACTCCCTGTCTTCCCGTGCACCAGGCCTGAGCTTACTGCCCATGTGGTGGGGATGCCGGGAGACCGGCAGGGCTGGAGCACGCCTGCCCAACACTCCTCTCCCGTGATGCCCTCTTCCTTTCCTCGGCTGCTCAGAATCTTCTTATCTTCCAAGACTCGGTTCAGACCCTGCCTCCTCCCTCAGGAAGCCTTCCATGTCTCCCTCTCAGCCCAAAATAATGTCTCCTTTGTGCTCAGGTATCTCTCACTCTCGTGCCCGCCACTTGACACTTGCATGGTGTGACAGGGGAAAGTACAGCTCTGGCTATTGCCTGTGTCCTTGGGCCACTAAGGTCACCTCTGTCAGCCTTGATTTCCTCATCTGGAAAATTGGGGTGTGGGGACCCAGCTGGCAGAGTGAGAGAAGTAAATGGTAGACACTTGGTACGAGGAATGTCTGAACAACACGCGCAGTTCCTGGCGCAGACTGAGCGTCCCAAGGAAGTTAGTTCTCCTTCCCTGCATTATTCAGGAAAAACATTCATCTGTGTATTGTTCTTATCTGCCTGGTGGACTGTGGCTCCTGGAAGGCAGGGCCTGCTTACACGTCTCAGTAGCCCATGGTAGGTGTTGGTCACATTTGTTGGTTTATTATGGAGCACAGTTCCTGCCCTTAGAGCCCCTGCAGTCTGATGAGACAGCTACGGTGTGAACATGTTAAATGCAGGGTAGGGAATGTTACTGTGTTACAGACGCACATATGTGGTGTGTGTGTGTATGTATTCTATAGCAATACCATATGTACACAGGTCTCTTTAACAAGTCTCGGAGGGATAGAATGGGAGAGACTCTGGGACTCTAAAAGAAGTAGGTTTAGGACAAATGCAAAGACATCCTGCTTTATAACAAAGGTCATAACCGTAGAGGAGACACTGCTGCCCAAGACGCGGAAACTAGAAATAAAACCATGGACATTTTTAGCCCTGAATGGGCCCTTAGAATGATCTGGTTCAGCAGTTCTCAAACTTTTTGGTCTATATGGGCCCTTTATATCTTAAAAATTATTGAGGATCTCAGAGTTTTTGTTTATATGGATTTTATCTATCTATATTTACCATATTAGAAATTAAAAGTGAGACATTTTCAAAATATTTATTCATTCATTTAAAAATAACAATAATAAACCAATCACATGCTAGCATGGGTAACATTTTTATGAAAAATAGGTTTGTTTTCCCAAACAAAAAATAATTGACTGAGAAGAGTTGGCATCTTTTTTTAGATTTTTGCAAATCTTTTTTAATGCTTGGCTTCAGAGAAGACATTGATTCTCCTATTTTCAGCGACTTTTATTCTGTTGCAATATGTTGTTGAATATGTGTTGAGGAATATGAAGAAAATCTGGCCTCACATAGATATGTACTTGGAAAAGATGTGTAGTTGCACCTTTTCAGATAACTGAGGATATTCTTTTTTGATACTACACTGGAACTCAACGAGGGGTAGTTTCTGACAAGTTGGTAGCAGTAGGCACTCTGAAACCATCTCTGTGAACTTTTCACCCCTTGTTACATTAAAATCCATTGGCATCTCTTGCACTTTGCGTGGATCTTCTACCCATTCACAATTTCATGTCATCCTTGGAAAATATTGGTTCACCGAGTATGCATAGCTTCCAAATGCTGACCCATTTCGTTATAAGTCTCAGAAACCCACATTTGTAAATATCACTGCCGATCTCATCGGAAAAGTCTTTCAATTTGGGGAAGCTGTCAAGCCCATCATGGCATATACAAGTTTTCTGGAATTCCAGTTTTTGTTTGAAAGCTGGAATTTTGTCATTGACACAAAATACAGCCAGTTGTTTTGCTTGAAGTGACAAACTCACTGCATTCATTTTGGGGAAAGCCTCCTAAATACCTGAGGCTGAACAATCATACTTTTTCTGTCAGCTGTTCTCTCAAGTAAAAACAGTGTTCCATGAAAAAAAGCAGCTAGTTCTGCTTGCAACTCAGTCACTCAAGGGCTTTTCCTCAAGACAAGCATCATACTTGGGTATGCCACAGACAGGCTTTATCCATACTCTCCATCTTATGACACTGAACACACGTGTCGAAATTTAATAAAATTAACAATTCTTACTGTTTCATCAAGGGCATTCTTAAGTGAAACTGGCTTTTTAATTAATTAATTAATTTTGTACTGTGAGTGCATGGCAGAGAAGAAAACCATGACAACTATTAGTTTGGTGCCACTGCCTTGCTTAGTGCTGAGGCACCAGCAGTTTTTTTTTTTGTTTTTTTGTTTGCTTGTTTTGAGGAAGATTGATTGGCCCTGAGCTAACATCTATTGCCAATCTTCGTCCTTTTTTCCTTTTTTCCTCCCCAAAGCCCCAGTAGATAGTTGTATGTCATAGTTGTACATCCTTCTAGTTGCTGTATGTGGGACGCTGCCACAGCATGGCTTGATGAGCAGTGGGTAGGTCCGCCCCTGGGATCCGAACCACTGAACCCCGGGCTCCTGAAGTGGAGCGCATGAACCACTACACCACCGGGCCAGCCCCAAGGCACCAGCAGTTTTATCCACTGTTGCTTTTACACCAGCGGTTCAAAGGGCAAACAACATCTTAATGTTTTTATGAAAACAGTTTTAATCTCACGAACCCTCTAAAGGGTCTCATGCATTCACGGGTTCCTGAGATCTTACTCTCAGAACTGCTGGTGTGGTTCATTGTTTCCTGTGCTTCAGTCTCTTGCATACCATCTTCACAGTTTTTGACACATGCATGAACCACTTTTACCATTATGTGCTTAATCATTTCTTTAAGTTGGCTTGCTTTTAAACTTACTTAAATTTATTTTGAAAGAAATGTTATATAGTCATACACCACATAACAACGTTTCGGTCAACAATTAGTACCATAGAGCCTAGGTGTTTAGCAGGCTATACCATCTAGGTTTGTGTAAGTGCACTTTATGGTGTTCCCACAACGACAACGTTGCCTAGCAATGCATTTCTCAGAACGTGTCCCCGTCATTAAGCGATGCATGACTTTATCACTACCATAAGCTATAAACCAGGGCCACAAATAAAAGGTAGCCAGAAACGAAGTACATAACTAATGATTAAAATGCACATATGTAGCTAGCTGTACCCATATAAATCCCAATGGTACATGAACAACTGTTTGGAAAACTCCATTCCAGACACATCTCTTCATTCTCCAGGCAAGGGAATCCAGCCCCGAGAAGAGGGAGGTGGTAAGACCAGAGCTCAGGCCTCCAGCGACTGCTGTTGGTTTGTCCTGGGAGTCATGCCCGCCCCGCTGGCCAGCCTCCAGATGTTCAGCACAGTGCTGTGTGGAGGGAGCCGCACTTGAAGGCTGCCATCAGGGGCACCCCCTCAGAACTGGCATCCTGGACTGGGTGGGCAAGACAGCCTTCCCTTTCCTCACTCACCCCCTCCCTGCTACTCCTGAAAGCAGTCAGCAGCTGACCTTTCAGTGTCCCCATGGCTCCTAGGTCAGGGGTCATAGATGCATTGCTACCTTCGAGAAGGAGCTGGCGGGGCTGGGGGCCGGGGGGGAGTCACTTCCAGTTTCTGCCTGAGTTATTAAACCCTCACCTGGGGATACTTGTAAGCCTGTTTGTCAGGGTGCCACCTTCATGCTGTAGACTTTGGAATACCAGATCGATGAGGGGTGGGGGATCAAAAGGGTCCCAGTGTCTCTCCAGCTGATGGGAGGCCCACCCAATTGATGGGTAGAGTGGAAGAGGCCAGGGGTCCTTTTTCCTTCATTTCCCTGAGCTGTGGCGTATTTCCCCTTACTCCATCCTCAACAGAAAGACAACGTGGAGTTGATCAAGGCCCTCATTGTGTTTGGGGCAGAGGTGGACACCCCGAACGACTTTGGGGAGACTCCTGCATTACTAGCCTCCAAGATCAGCAAACGTATGTGCTCTGCCCTCTGGGACCAGATTCGGGGGGAGGGGGTGCAGGGACTGGGGAAGAGAGAATTCCCAGCCATCAGGTGCCGCATCCTGTCCATACCTGCCCCCAGTTGCTCCCTGCACGGAGTGGCTGGGGGGCTGAGAGGGGAAGCTTCCTCTTCCCGAGAACAGGTGCCTTGACCAGTAGGTGGAGCCCACCAAGGGGCTTGCCAAGCCAGTGTCCTCTTCTGTGGGGTCCCCATGCCACCTCAGCGTGCCAGGACTCCCAGGGCGGGGGGATAGGCAGCAGCAACAGCCCTCTTCCCCACTCTTGGGAATTCACTGATGGGACCGCTTGCCAGAACAACCACAGGTTGATGCATGCACTGCACTTTGCAAGTACGTGTGTGTGCCCTCGTGCACACAGGTGCGCTGCATGCACTGCATGCTCGCTTGGTGAGCCTTGGCTTCAGGGCTGGAAAAAGCAGATCCTCCTCACCAGAAGCCTGGAGCCCCCTCTGGAAGCCCCTCTGGAGGGCTTCAGGGAGTTGTGCAAGTTGTTGTCGGTGTGTACCTGACAGTGCGTGTGAGTGTGCATGTGCATGCATGTGTGCGCTACTTCCTGGGGCATCCTTGTCAGTTATCCCATCCGTCAGATGGGAGTAAGTGCCCAGTGGCCAGCTGGTTAGTCCCTTTTGAGCTCTGGAAGGACCTCTGCATTCAGCAGTTTTGAGAATTGCTGAACATGGAGGTGGAAGTCCTGCTTTCTTGGCTGGAGTCGAAGGGGAAGAGAGAGTTCCTAAAATACCCGGGCAGGGCCACACCGACCTCCTCTGTCCATGTTCCCCAGTCGACCCCCCGTGCCCTCCGTGGCCCCAGAAGCTGTATGTGCCCCAGGAAGCTGCTTTGGATGTAACAGACCAGAGTCAGCTCGCCTGTCAGGGTGGGATCAGGCCCCCGGGGCACCCCGGTTCCCCCACAGCCCCAGGCCACCTGGTGGATGGGAGAGGGGACGTGTGTGGGAAGGAGGGGCCTCTCACTTGCGTGTTGACATCGTTTCTGATCCTGTGTGATCTCCACCTCCTCAAACCATGGCAAGTTGTCACCAGGAAGGAGCTCCTAACTCTGCTGAGAACCGTAGGGGCCGACTGCCGCTTCCCACTCGTCCAGGGGGTCCCCGTGGAGCAGGGCTCCACAGCAACGCACCATTGCTTCTCCCTGGAAAGATCTCAGCCCCCACCAATCAGCTTAAACAACCTAGGTAGGCCTCTGCCCTCCCACGGTCCCTCCTCTCCAGCTGGTTCTTGGGCACTTGGATCAGAGCAGACCTGATGGGAAGGAATCGGGGCCCCACGGTAGAAGTTGTTGAAGGGAGCAAGGGAGGATGGGGCAGAGTTTGTTAGCCTCTGGAGGCAGCTAGCAATCCATAGAGCCCAGAGGCCAGAGCGGTCCCTGGCTAATGGCCCATGGTCCATCTCCCTTGAGGATGCCCTGGACACAGGTCTCAGGTCTGGGCATCCCCATGGCACCCATGAGGTGGGTGCTTTTGTGGCCTCTCTGTGTCCCCTGGGAGCTCAAGGGGGCAGTGAGAAGTTGCCGGCCCTCTGGCTTCAGTGAGGAGGGTTTCTGCCACGCTGCTGAGTCTCTGTCAGGCCTGAGGCCTGTGTGCTCCCCTGCTGGCCCCTTCGCTGACTTACAGGCTTTTGAACGTGGCCAGGCAACCAGCATCTGCTGGGTACATCCTTGGTGCCCATGGAGATGGCTGGGCTTTTTGTGAGCTGGCTCACCCAGGGCTCCAGATTGTTTGGGAGCAGGGTCCCCTGAACAGGGCAGTCAGGAACCGATCCTAGGCAAACTGGCATTTTTTATTTTTTTTTGTGAGGAAGATCAGCCCTGAGCTAACATCCATGCCATTCCTCCTCTTTTTGCCGAGGAAGACTGGCCCTGGGCTAACATCCGTGCCCATCTTCCTCTACTTTATATGGGACACCACCACACCATGACTTGACAAGCAGTGCGTCGGTGCGCGCCCAGGATCCGACCCTGCGAACCCTTGGGCCACCAGGCTGCCGAAGCAGGGCGCGTGCACTTAACTGCTATGCCGCCGGGCCGGCCCCCATATATATATATATTTTTTTTACTGTTAGGGAAGCAGACACCAGCACCTCTAGCCAGGATAGCCCAGGCACAATTAGTCCTTCTGGTTCCGCCTCTCTCCTCCTCCTCCCCCTCCCCATCCAGGACCTGCCCCCCATCTTTATCTCTCGATTTTACAGGCAGTCAGTCACCCACGCCAGGCTGGATGGTGGGCCTGGGGCGCGGCGGCAGATGGGTAATGCCCTGGGCCTAGAGGGGCCGCGGAGCCCGGCCAGGCCCGCTAGCTGTAGCTCTGGTTCCCCCTTCTCCTTTTTCTCAGCTGCATGCCCAGACACATGCTCCCTTCCTTACCAACCTCGCCCTGGCACTCTGTCCACCACCTCTCCTGGCCACTCGCCCGCTTTCTGGCCCACTCTCTAGCCACTTGCCCTGGTGAGGGGGAGACGCCACCTTGCAGCCTGCCCTCCTGCTTTGCTGCTTCCAGACTCTGTGCACAGTGGTGGGGAATGCCCATCAGAATCCAGATGGCGTGGAATTGCCGGGCTGGGCACCCGGGGCTGGGCTGCTTGTCAGGAGGGCAGCTACTCCACTGGGTGGGCGCGGGATGGGCCCTGGGCACAGGGGAAAACATGGATGGAGTGGATGGGTGCATCTAATCCAAGAGGCCGCTGAGGAAGTCTCCAGACCTGGGATCAGGACCAGGGGCATCTGAAGAATGGTCAGGGTATCTCCCTTCATTCGTGGAGTGAAACCCGGAGGAACATCCTGACTCAGCCATTTTGTCTAAGTGGCCTTGGACGAGTCATGTAACCTCTTTAGCCTTCTGTGTGGATCGGGTATAATGCGTCTGGTGATGGTGCTTATCAGCAGCACGGCCGGATGCATGAACGCTCTGAGCTGCAAAGCACGGGACATGGCAGGGGTGCTTGTGCTTCGGGGCTTTGGGAGGATGACATTGAGGAGAAGCCGGGAGCTGGCCGGGCAGGGTGGGATGCCCTCCCGGGGCGGTGGGCTCCCCTCTGCGTTCCAGCCCATTTCTGCCCGAGGGGCCTGTGGCCTCTGGGTTAGCTGTCTCCTGGGACAAAGAGCCCCTCCTGAGGGCAGGACGCAGATGCTCCTGCTGGGGGCTGTGGGGGGAGGGCACAGCTCCAGGCTTGCTCTCAGGACCTGTGGGCTGGAGGGGACCCGGCCCCTGCCTGGCCCCAGCCCCCCTGCCCTGTGCCTCACAGAACTGCAGGACCTCATGCACATCTCCCGGGCCCGGAAGCCAGCGTTTATCCTGAGCTCCATGAGGGACGAGAAGCGGACGTAAGTGGAGGAGGGAAGGGGGCCACATGTGCAAGCCCTCTGCTGGGTGCTCCGCAGCGGGCTCGGAGGCTGGGTGCTCACCACAGCCCTGTGTGGTAGCTTACAGCAAAGAGCCTGAGTCTTTAGAGAGCCCAGGTCTGCTCCTTCATCAATGCCTGTGCAGGCTCCAGGTCACACAGTGGAGCTGGTTGTAGTCCTGTCCCTGCCCTCCCTGACCCTGTCATGGTTTATCGGGGGAGATGGCCCAGATCCCCCGGGGAGAGACCTCAGCTGCTGCGATGCTCAGCCTGCTTCCCTCTGATTCCACCCTGCTCCTTACCCCGCCTCCCTCCACAGAGCTAGTGGGGTGGGCTGGGTTCCCGAGCACCTGCTGTATACCCAGGCCCATCCTAGGAGGCAGGCCTGGGTGATGGGCACAAAGGAAAGAAGCCCAAGCCTTGTCCTTGAAGACAGTCCCTGGTGCTGGAATCAGTGCCCACCAGCACGGCCGGTTACCAGGACAAATGTGTTTCCAATGGACCGTGCTCTCTCCACCCTGCCCTTTAATAACACGGTTTATTCTCTGTTTATTACCATCCCTTGTTCCTAACAGCCTTCCTAGGGAAGTATTAGTAACCTTGTTTGGCAAATGCAGAACCTGATTCCCCAGAGGTTAAGTGACTTGCTCAAGGTTGCACAGAGTGAGTGTCAGAGCGGAGACTCACGCCTGGGTCTTCCGAGTCCACATCCTTTCTGCTGCTGCAGCCTCTCTCCTGGCTGCATCTCTGGTGCCAGCCCTGCAGGGAAAGCTCTCTCCCGGAAGCAGATGCAGCCCCTGCTCTGGGGGCCAGGCAGCAGCATCGCCCGAAGGGGCGGCCTCCCTGTGGCATATCCCACCCGTTTCCACAGCCACCCTGTAATGTGTGCCCTGGGGGTGCGCCTGCCCCATCAGCGTTGTCCCTCTTCCCTCCCACTGCACAGCCTGCGCGCGCACACACACATGCACACACACCTGTGCAGGGCTGAGGAAGGTCCTGGAGGGAGGACTAACAATAAGGGGAGGAGAGGAGGCAGCTTCTCCAGCAGGACCAGGGGAGTCTGCACGAGCCTGAGTGTCCTCCTTGGAGGTGGGGCTGAGGCAAGAATCAGGACCCTTGTGGGGACCTCCGCACGAGGGTCTGTGAGCCGCATAGCTCAGCCCTGCTCCCCCTGGGTCAATCCTTCTGTTGCCAGCCCCACATCCTCAGAAGGGTCTCTTGCATGTTTGCTGTGGCCTCCCTGGTCAGGGGGCCTGCAGGCCTCCAGTGACATAACAGTCTCCCCTGCCACCCTCTGGGTTTGCTGTAGGGCTGGGCAGCTTGTCCAGGAAAAGATGAGGGACCCTGGAGCCGGCCGCCCAGGCCTCCTTCATTCAGGAGCTGCCTATTGGACGCCTCCTGTGCGCACTGGATACTCAGCGCTGCACACAGCAGAGCTGGTCCCTGCCCTCAGGGAGCTTCCGGCCCAGTGGGGAAGAAAGACAGTGAATAAACAAGAGAATGAGAAACAGTTCCTATAGAAGCGAGGAGTGCCCCACACCAAGGAAGTGGGTGGGGCAGGAGCAGGCTGAGCTGGAGGGTCCTGATGGCAGCAGGGCAGGCTTCTCTCAGCGGTGACATTTAAGCTGTGGGGCGGGGAGCTGGCATGGCCCGACCGAAGGAGACATGTCGGGTGTGTTGGAGAGCAGGTGACTCAGAAATCCAGATCCTGCCGCGTCACTTACCACCCGTGTGACTGGGCACTCGCCTGGCCTCTGAGCTTCATTCCTTCACAGACACGTGCAGGGGTAACAGGAGTGTCCGCCTCAGAGAGGTCTGGGACATTTAGTGAGTTCGTGCTGGCGAAAGCCCCTCACAGCTCCCGGCACACAGAGGGTCCTTCCTCCCTGCCCCCCTCCCCTCCTGCTTCCCCCCAGTGGAGGGTCCTGGCCCTCCTCCTCCACCCCTTCCTGGCCTGCTGTAGGCCAGCCCTTCCCCCACAGCCTTTGACTCAAACAGACTCTTATCAGGCATCTGCTTCGGCTCAGGCCTGGGACTGGGACCCTAGACCTGACTAAAGCCGAGTGGCTGTCCTCAGGGAGCTCCCCGTCCAGAGTCGGGGGACAAACCCAGGGGTCTGCTGAGGTGGTGCTGGCCAGTGAGGCCTTCCCTGCCCCTGCTGCCCTTACCTTCATTTCTCTACTGCACTTTTTAGCACCCCACCCTCCCTCTGCAAATCCCCAATGGCATGCAGGCTCTGCAGGGCTTGGTCTTCATGTGCTCATGTGGCTGCGGCTGCCACGGTGCATGTGCTCAGGGCCACGGGCTCCAGTGCGGGAGGTAAAGAGCCAGGCCATAGTGAGCCCCTCTTCTCTCCCACTGCTGTCCCCACTGCAGCCATGACCACCTGCTCTGCCTGGACGGCGGGGGCGTGAAAGGCCTCATCATCATCCAGCTCCTCATCGCCATCGAGAAGGCCTCAGGCGTCGCCACCAAGGACCTCTTTGACTGGGTGGCAGGGACCAGCACAGGGGGCATCCTGGCCCTGGCCATTCTGCACGGTGAGGGCGGCCCCCTGGACAATGGGGGCAGCGCAGGGTGGGGCCAAGTATGCCCTCAGGGGGGCTGAGTATGTTTTCAGAGCCTTGCAAAGAGGGCCATGGGGGAGGGCAGGGCTTGTAAGCCCTTTGTGGGGTGGCTGAGGGTGCTGGGGTCCGAGGCTGGAAGGAGAAGGGCTGGGTGGGTGCGCTGGTGCTCGATGCCCCCAGCCAGCCATGAAGGACAGACCCAGTTGCCCTTGCTTTCAGTGTGGGAAGGGTTTTTGTATCGATTGCCTCAACCACTGCTCCCCACAGCCCTGGGAGGCAGGCTGCTCATAACCTGCTGGAAATCAGGCAGTTCAATGGATGGAGTGGGTTGCCTCAGGAATGAGGAGCCACCGAGTCACAGAACGCCAGAGCCCTAGTCTGCATGCTTCATTTTACCCACAGGGAAATTAAGGCCCTAGGGGGAGAGAGGTGACCAAAGTCACAGAGCCCAGCCGTGGGGTTGTTGGGCTGGGACAGCCCCCCAGAATGCCAGCCCAGCACATCCCAAGGTCGGTGCACGTCCCAGGCTACCTGTGCAGTCTGCTCTCTCTGCAGCTTTGCAAAGGTGACAGCGTGCATCGCTTACTAGACAGACTGCTGGGTGGGCCTTGTCTCCACTCAGGTGGGGTCTCCTCTGTGGAGCTGTCTGGGATCCGTGATTCTGCCGGTGGGGGCCTTCCCAGAACAGGGTCCAGCCCCCACCCAGGTGGGGGTCGGCCTCGGCCTCAGCATCCCTGACCAGTGATCCCTGCCCCGGTGCTGGTCAGATTCCATGCTCTGCAGCCTGCCCTCCAGATCTGAAAGCACCAGGAGAGGACCCTTCCGCTCCCGGGGCAGCAGGGCCTGCGGGCCAGCCCTGTGCACCAGGCCTTGCCAGGTGCTAGGGATGCGGGGCTGTCAGGCGCACGTCCAGCCTCAGGGAGCCCCAGTCAGATGGGGGAGGCACAGGCATCTGGGGGTTCACCATGGGAGGAGGCCGTGGCCGGGTGGTCCAGGGTGTGTGGGGATGTGGGGCAGAGCCAGTCCAGGTGGCTCCCGGGAGTAGCATCCCCTGGGGCTCTGGGAAGAGGAGGATTGTCAGTTGGCAAGCCGCCAGGACTTGTGGTCCCGGCAGTGTGCTGCTACACTGTTTACTGTAACACTTTACTGTTTCACTTCATTTTAATGTTCTCGCCATAGCCCTGTGAGGTTACAGATGGGGAAACTGAGGACAGAGAGGGTCACCCAGTGAGTTGGCAGAGCCAGGACCAGGTCTCTCCCCTGGCCTCGGGCCCCATGGCCCCTCTCTGGCCTTTGTTCCTGTCTTCCCTGAGAGGGGAGCCATCTCAGGGGTCTGCCTCCGCCCAGTGGGGCATGAGGTCTGGGGGGCAGGACAGAGTGGGCAGAGGTACCAGCCTGTCCTCCACAAAGGGTCACTCCCTTCTTCAGGGGACGTTTGTCCCCCATCCAGGGTCTTCACATTCCCGGGGGCTGTGAAGGGATCTGAGGAGCCGCCTAGTTCAGCCTCTTATACGGGCAGAAAGCCTCTCTCGTGGCCCCCTGGCTGCGCACCCCCGCTGGGGGGAGGCCTGCTGTGAGGTGCAACCTGCCCTTTGACCCTGTCTGTTCTCGGACGGCAGGGCTGGCCTTTCTATTCCTTGACGAACAGGGTGGAACTAGATGTATAAGCGATTTCACTTTCAGGGCCCTTTTTAAAGAGAAATAATACAAAATTATGAACACAAAATTAAGTACAGAGCCTTGGGGCTGCTGGAGGGGGATTTCTGCCTCTGTGGGAAGTTGCAAAGGGGAGCCCGGGAGCTCCAGCTTGGTTAGTGCCTTGGTAAATCCGCCCCCCTCCTGCTGGCCCTGGTTCCCACAGCTGGCCTGTGCCCAGGCCCTCGGTCAGGGCAGGCCCTCGTGTCTCTCCCCACCTCCGACTCCCTTGTTCCTAGGCAAGTCCATGGCCTACATGCGTGGCGTGTACTTCCGCATGAAGGACGAGGTGTTCCGGGGCTCGCGGCCCTACGAGTCGGGGCCCCTGGAGGAGTTCCTGAAGCGGGAGTTTGGAGAGCACACCAAGATGACAGACGTCAAGAAACCCAAGTGAGCCTGCCGGGCGGGAGCACAGTGGCTTTGGCCCCAACTGTGCACCCCTTCGCTGTTCCCTGGGGCAGAGGCTCCCTGCCTGGTCTGATTAAAGCGAGGTGGGTGGGGTGGAGAGCAGCTTCTTCCCTCCACGCGAACAGCACGGGCCTGGGTCCGAGGGGGTCGGTTCTGGCCCACCACACACTCGGGACCTCTTTGCTGAGCATGGCCTGCCCAGGCACTGTGTTTGTACGCGTGGGGGTTATGGATGCAGCCGGCAGAGGGGGAGGCTTACCATCTGGTTGGGAGATAAGTGGCCTGAAAAATGGCAGCCAAGCAAGGCAGCACGTGCTTAAGAGGTTCCAGAAGAGCCTATAGCACCACTACTTCTCTGTAGTGTTCCTTACCGCGGAATTACTTTATTGTCTGTCTAGTACCTGTGACGCCAGCCAGACTGTGAGCTCCCTGAAGCAGGAGCATGAACAGTTTTTTCTGTAGCCCCAGCGTCTGGCCCAGGGACTGCCCCAGAGCAGCCCATTGAAGAGTATTCATCAGCTGACTGACTGTCCATTGGAGCAAGAGGGAGAGAGGACTGAGGATGAGGTGGTCAGGGAGGGCTTCCTGGAGGAAGTGAAGTGTGAGTGAAGCCTAGAGGGTTAGGGAGGATTTCTTTTCATAATAAAGCTTTTTTTAAAAAGATTTAAGAATAATAATAGTCTTCTAAGAAAATTTAGAAAATACGGAGAGTAAAAAGAAGAGGAAAATATCATCCATGATTTATTAACCAAAAGATAATATTCTGAAAACATTTTTGTATATTTCATTCTAGGCATTTTTCCTCTTTTTAATGATGAAATAGAACATACATTTAGAAAAGTACATAAAACAGTTCATTGAATAATTATAAAGCAGACACCCACTTGACGGCCAGCTAAGTCCAAAAGCCCGTTGAGTGTGTGCCCTACTCTGGGCCCGAGGTAGCCGCTCTCCTGACCTGTGTGAAAGGGATTTCCTGGCTGTTCGGGATAGTTTCACCACCTGTGCACTGTGTGGAGTGTGATGGCACTGTGATGGCAGTGTGACCAGCATAGTCTCGGTCTTGCCTGTCCCTGGGTGTGGACAGAATCATTTTGCGTGCTATCTCTTCTTTCCATCAATGCCACATTTGTCAGCGTCGTCCCTGCTGTTGGGGGAAGCTGTGCTTCATTTGTTCTCTCTGCTGTGGAGGATTCCATCATGTGACTCGCCTCACAGTTTATTTCCCTGAATACCTTCGATGGACACTTGCAGAGTTTGGAGCTCTTGCGAAGAGTGTGGCCGTGAGCATCTGGGGACCTGTTTTCTGACCTGCGCGTGTACCAGTCTCCCTGGGGGGTACATGCCCAGGAGCAGAGCTGCGAGTCTCAGAGGATGCGAGGCCTCAACGCTTCGATTCTGCCCAGCTGTCTTCCAAAGTAGTGGTTTCTATTTTCACTCCTATCAGCCGTGTTTCAGAGGCCCTGTTCTGCATTCTTGCCAGCGTTTGGTTATCGTCAAACGTTTTTATCTTTACAAATCTGGGAGGGTGCAAGATGCTGTCTCTGCTGGTTTGAATTTTCATTTTCCTGATGACTAGGGAGGTTGAACACCTTTTCAGAGGTTTAAAGCCCATTTGGATTTCCTCTTTTGTAAAGTTCCTGTTCAAGTGCCTATTTTTGGCAAAATTGGGTTGTGTGATTTTTGAGTTAGGAGGCTTCTTAACGATCTTTTTTATGTTTTGAGAACTAGTCCTTTGATGGATATATGGATTTGAAATCTTTTCTCCCATTCCATGGCTTGTCTTTTCACTCTCTGTGGTGTTTTGTTGATGAGTGGGTGTTCTTAAAGTGGTGGACTTTAGAAATGTTTCCTTTTTATAGTTTGTACTTTTCATATCCATTCAAGAACCCTTCCCTAACCTGAGGCAGGAGGTATTTTCCTGTGTCAGGCCGGAAAGCTCTCTAGATCTGCCTTTCCTGTTTATGTCTTTTATCAACCTGAAATTGGTTTTTGTATCAGGACAGATTCCATTTCATGTTTTCCATACGAATAACAGGTTTCCCCAGCCTACTCTGTGAAGAAGTCTGTCTTGCTCGCCACACCTGGAGCCTTGCTGCCTCGGTTGTGGGTCAGGGGTCCTTGCTCGGGTCTGTTTCTGGCTGTGCTCTGTTCCGTGGGCTGGGCGTCTGTGCCTGTGCCCAGCCCACAGAGCCCTGAGTCGACAGCGTGATAATAAGTCCTGGCATCCGGGGCAGCAGGGCCTCCCACTGTGTCCTTCTCCTTCAAGAGTATCATGGCTGTTCTTGGAGGCCCTGTAGAGAAGTGGTTAAGAACCTGCACCCTGAAGTTTCCTCTTCTCGAAAATGGGAATAATATACTACCTGCCTCCTAGGGTCTTCATGAGGAGTGAAAAAATTATAGCAGTTAAAGAGCAGCTGGTGCATAAAAAGTGCTGTATAAGGGTTACTCATGACTGTTGGCGCTTCCACATAAATTGTAGAATCAGATTGTCAAATTCTACAGAAAACCAAATCCTGTTGGGATTTTGATTGAGATTACATTGAATCTGTCAGTTTATTTGGGGGCGAATTGACGTCTGAAAACACTGAGTCTTCCAGTTAGAGAACGTAGTAAAACATTCCGTTGGTTCAGAGTTTCTCAGTTCAATTTTATAATTTTATCTATAGAGATCTTATACATCTGTTTTTTTAATCTGTTTAGGTACTTCATATGTTTTGTGCTACTTTAAATTATACATTTTTAAACATTTATACATTTTAAACATTTTTTCTAACTGTAGCTCATATTTAGAAATACCATTTATTTATTTAGTATACAATTAATTATGGTAAAATACACATGACATAAAATTTACCATCTTAACCATTTTTGAGTGTACAATTCAGTAGTAATGACTATATTCACCTTGTTGTGCAACCGATCTCCAGAACTTTTTCATCTTGTGGAACTGAAACTCTGTACCCATTAAACAACTCTCCGTTCCCCTCTCCCCAGAGCCCCTGGCAACCGCCATCCTGCTATCTCTGTGAGTTTGACTGCTCTAAGAACTTCATGTAACTGGAACCAGACAGTGTTTGTCCTTTTGTGTCTAGCTCCTTTCACTTAGCGTAATGTCCTCAAGGTTATCCACGTTGTAGCGTGTGTCAGAATTTCCTTCCTTTTTAAGGCTGAATAATATTCCATTGGATGTATGTACCACATTGTGTTTATCCATTTGTCTGTTGATGGACATTTGGGTCGTTTCCATCTTTTGGCTGTTGTGAGCAATGCTGCTATGCACATGGGTGTATGTACGTGTTCGAATCCCTGCTTTCAATTCCTGGTGCCTTTTACAGAGAGAGTGCTGATGAGCTCCGTTTGCTAAGATTTTGTTTAGGATTTTGCATCCATGTTTATGAGCGAGCTTGACTGTTTTTTCCCGTTTTGGGGTTGCTGGGTTTTGGTTTTGAGGCAGTGTTTCCTCTTTTTCTATTTTCTGGAAGAGTTAGTATAATAATGACTTTATTTCTGCCTTGAATTTTTGGTAGAATTTACTAGTAAAGTCATCTAGGCCTGAGTTTGCTTGAGGGAAAATTTTTGAAGATGGAATTAATTTCTTTAATGGTTATAAAACTATTAGGGTTTCTAAATGTCTTTTTGAGTTAATTTTGGTTTTGTTTCTCTAGGAATGTGTCCATTTTGTCAAATCTTCAAATTTATTAGTGTAGAGTTGTTCAAAGTATTCTTATTATCTTTTTAATGCCTGCAGCCTCTGTTGTGATGCCCCCTTTCCATTCCTGATTATTTACAGCTCTTCTTTTCTTCCTGACCAGTCTTGTCACAGGTTTTTCAATTGGATCACTCTTTCAGAAAACCAGCTTTTGGCTATTTATTGGCTCTCTATTGTATGTTTTCTGTTTCATTAAATTGCTGCTCTTATTTTTATTTCTTCTTGTACTTTCTTTGCATTTATTTAGCTGTTCTTTTTTTAACTTCTTGAAATAAATGTTTTGCTCATTGATTTTCAGCCTTTTTTCTGTTCTACTACCTATGTGTATATATTATATATGTGTGTGTGTGTGTGTGTGTGTGTGTGTGTGTGTGTAATCTAAACATTTCCTCTCAGTACTGCTTTAATTATATCCCATAAGCATGTTGATGATTGTTTGATTCAAAATATTTTCTAATTTGCATTATAATTTTTTTAACCATAGGTCATTAAAAATGCATTTCTCAATTTCTAAACTCAGGGGATTTTCTAGTTATATTTTTGTTATTAATGACTTTGTGGCTAGAGGACATGCTCTGTATGATTTTGGTCCTTTAAAATTTGTTGAGACCTGGGTTGTGGCCTTTTACAGCTAGTTTTTTTTAAAGATTTTATTTATTTTTTTTATTTTTTGCCCCCAAAGCCCCAGTAGATAGTTGTATGTCATAGCTGCACACCCTTCTAGTTGCTGTATGTGGGACTCGGCCTCAGGATGGACAGAGAAGTGGTGCCTCGATGCGCACCCGGGATCCGAACCCGGGCCGCCAGCATCGCAGCGCACGCACTTAACCACCAAGCCACAGGGCCGGCCCTACAGCTAGTTTTTTTAATGTCCCATGTGTAACTTAAAAGATAGGGATTCTGCCATTTGTTGGGTGCCAAGTTCTGTACATGTCGATTAAGGCATGTTGGCTAGGAATGTTGTTTAAAATTTTCAAATCTTCCATATCCTTACTAATTTTTTGTCCACCTCTCCAATCGATTATTGAGAGAGAGATGTTAAAGTCTCCCACTCTGAGAATTTCCCTTTTCTCCCTTTAGTTCTGTCAATTTTTCTTTTAATATTTTGACATATGCTAATAAGTGCATATAAATTTAAATTTTGTGTATTTTTCCGGCGACTGGAATCTTTTATTATTATGAGGCAGCCCTCTTTATCTCTAGGAATGCTTTTTGTTTTAAAGCCCATTTCGCCTGATATTAACGTAGTTGTACTGGCTTCCTTTGGTTATATTTGCGTGGTACATCTGTACTCATCCTTTAATTCAACCTTCTTGAATCCTATGTTTTATTTTATTTATTTATTTTTTTTTTAAAGATTTTATTTATTCATTTTTTTTCCCCCCAAAGCCCCAGCAGATAGTTGTATGTCATAGGTTCACATCCTTCTAGTTGCTGTACGTGGGACCCGGCCTCGCGCTGGACGGAGAAGTGGTGCCTTGGGGCGCGCCCGGGATCCGAACCCAGGCCGCCAGCATCAGAGCGCGCGCACTTAACCGCTAAGCCACAGAGCCGGCCCTTGAATCCTATGTTTTAGATGTATCTCTTGTAAATAGCCCATAGTTGGATTTGTTCTTTATCTAATCTATTACTCTTTGTTTTTACCTGGAGCATTTAGTCCATTTGTGGATTTTTAATGCATAGTAATGTATTTATTTAAGTTAACTAATTAGTTAAGTTTGGTTTAGCTGATTGGTTTGACTATCAAAACCTTCACATAGTTAATCTAATAGTTTATATGGCTGGTCCATTTATATTTATGTAATTACTGATATATTTGGGATGACATATGCCATCTTACTTTGTTCTGCATTTCTTTTTCTCTTTCTTGCCTTGTTTTGGAATTACTGAATAGTTTTAATCATTACATTCCATGCCACACGCCCACCACCAATAGTTTGTACTCTATGCACTCATTTTTTTTTTTAGTGCATACTTAACTTATAAAAATCTAAATTTAATTGATACCCTTACCTTCCCCTCAGATAATCAAGGATTTTAAAATACTTTAATTCCGTGTACCTTCCCCATCTTATCTATAATTGTTTTCCTATATTTTAAATCTATCTTGTTTTTTTAAGCGTCACAAGACATTATAATTATTTTTTGAAGTTGGCTGTCATTTAGATTTAGCCAGTGGTGTGCTGGTAAACCAGATCTCTGGGGGAAGAAGCCCTGATCTGTAGTGTTTGCTGATTCCTGTAGCATAAATACTTTCACCATGGCCAATTTCAAAATACCAGGGCTATTTACTAATCTCATAGCTTAGCAACCAGCTCGTGAGATTTAGCAGGAGGTTCTTACAAGCCAGTATGAGCTAGCTCCAGCACACCCTTGGCTACGGATGTGTGTGTGTATGTGTACGTGTGTGCGTATGTATGTGTATATGTGTGTATCACTTCTTTGCTCTACATTCTTTCTTGCATCCCAGACTTCCGTCTGTGACCACTTTCCTTCTGCCTAAAGTACATTCTTTTGACGTTCCCTTGGAGAGGGTCTGCTGGTGGTGAATTCTCCACCAGCAGAATTGTTTGAAAATAGTTTTATTTTACTCTTATTCTTGCTGGTATAGAATTCTAGGCTGGCGGTTTTCTTGTAGAACATACAAGATATCATGCTGTCTTCTTTTAGCTTCCAGTGTTGCACTTGCAAAGTCAATTTCAATCTAACTGTTACCCCTTTGAAAGCAATTGGTCTTTTTTCCCTGGATATTTTTATTTATTTGTTTGTTTTTGGTTCTCTACAGTAGTACTATGATATATCTAGATATGAATTCCTTCTAGTTTATCCTGCATGGGATTTTTTGGTCTTCTTAAATCTTTGGATTGGTGCCTTTTTTTAGTTCTGGAAACCTGAGTCGTTATCTCTTCAACCTTTGCCTCTTCCTAATTTTCTCTCTCCTCTCCTCTCCTTCTGAAACTCCAATTAAACATGTTAGACTTTATGTATCTTCCATGTCTTTTAACTTCTCCTGTATATTCTATCATTTTATCTCTATGTGTTGCATTCTGGATAACTTCTTCTTACCTATTTTCCAATTCACTAATTCTCTCTTTAGCTTTATCTAATTTTCCATTTAACCCATCCATTGAGTTTTTTATTCTCTTGTATTTTTAAAAAATTTCTAGAAGTACTCTTTGGTTCCTCTTTAAATCTTCTGGGTCATTACTTATAGTTTCCTATTCCCTGAAGATACTGTCAGGCTTGTCTTTGAACATTGTAAGCATAGCTGTTTTGTAATCTTTGTTTGAGGATTCAAATATCTGCAGTCTATGTAGGTATGTTTTGCTGTTTATGTTGGTTTAAGCTGGTTCTCATTCATGGTGTTTTATTTCATTGTGTGCCCCCTGATGCTGTTTTTTTTTTTTTTAACTATGTGGTGTTCCTTAGTGTTGAAGAATAATATGTGCAGTTTCTGTGAGGCTTAGAGTGATAGTATTTTCCTTCAGAGTGTCTTGTGTTGTCTCTTCCAGGTACCTAGGTACACTGCCATCTAGGGCCACTGTAACTGAATTCTTGGCATGAAGGTTTTGGAGCTTCCCCCAGGTAGTGTGAATTTAGACTGCAAATCCCCTTGAGGGTTAGTTTGTGGTTATACATTTTCAGGGAATTTTTCTCCCTCTTTTGTCCAATGGCAACTTTCCTCACATCCTGCAGGGGTGGGAAAGGGGCAGGTTTATTTCTGGTTCACCCTTATCCAAGAGCATAGCCCTTTGGGGTCCCAGCCTAATGTAGGGGTCTCCCATTAGACATTAGTCTGTGCTCTGTTTACCTCTCTGGGTTCTTGCTTATCCTCAGAATTTACCCTGATCTGTCCTTTCTATCTTGTCAGGTCTTCTATGCTTTTAAGAAGATTTTTAAAAATATTTTTTCCAGCATTTAAGATTGTTCAGTAGGAAGATTGTTCAACTAACCTCCCCACAATATTCCCAGAAACAGAAAACTGGTCTTTTTTCCCTAGGTAGAGTTTTTTTGTTCCCTTTCCTTTATATTTTTCTTTACGACGTAACAAATACATTTCTGTGTTACTCTGAACTCCTTGCCAGCATAATTTTGAAAGGCTGCAAAACATTCCATTGTTTCATTAGCCCTTCTATTGCTGCCCTTTAGATGGGTTCACTTTTCACTATAATCAATTATACTGCGATGAATAGTCTTGTACAAGAAGCTTCCATTGTAGCTAAGATTATGCCTTTAGGATAGATTTTCCAAAATGGAATTCCCAGATCAAAGATCCAGGGTCTTAATATGTATTAGTTTCCAAGAGGGCTGTGCCAGTCTGCACTCCCCGCAGTACTTAAGGATGTCTGCGTCTCTCAAGACCAGTAGGAGTCGTCTTTAATAGGTTATAGACTCACGTGGTCGAACACTGAAGGGGCGTCAAAGGTGACACAGTGAAGTCTCCTCCTGCTCCTGTCCCGGAGTTGCAGCCACCAGGCAGTCCCCTGCCCCAGAGGCAGCTCACTGTTGCCAGGGGCTGCTCATGGGCCTTCCAGAGTTACCCTCTGACGGAGCAAATAGGCACAGAGGTTTTTTGGGGTTTTGTTTTTAAATAAATGGTGGCATACTAAACACACTGTCCTGAGCCTTGCTTTTTCCATTAACCATAAATCTTGGTGCTCAGTGCCTATCAGGACGTGAAGCCTTCCTCAGTCGTTCTGCGGCGACACAGACCCACTGGCTGGGAGCTGCGGTGCAGTGAAGCGGCCCACTGTTAGACATATGGTTGTCGCCAGTCTTTTGCTTTAACAACCGATGCTGCTGTTAACAGCCTTGTGCGTGCCTGTCTCCCACACGTGTGAGTGCGTCCTAGGATGAATTCCCAGCAGTGGGATCGCTGGGTCTGAGGAGAAGGCCATCAGCGGTTTGGACGAAGATTGCCAAAGGTGGGTGGGTCGGTGACGTCAGCCGTCCTGCTCCTGGTTTCCCTCCAGGGTGATGCTGACAGGGACGCTGTCTGACCGGCAGCCGGCTGAACTCCACCTCTTCCGGAATTACGAGGCCCCAGAGTGCGTGCGGGAGCCGCGTTTCAGCCAGAATATCAACCTGAAGCCTCTAACTCAGCCCTCAGGTGAAATCCATGTTCGATGCATCTGTGGGAAGCGATTGGCCCCAGAGGCTGCGGGGCGGTGGGGGGAGTTGTAAGCCTGCTGCCGGCCCCGCAGCCCACCACCATCCCCCGCACTGCGCCGTCTTCTCTCCAGAGTCTTGATCGGCTGCGGGAGGCAGAGCTGGGGAGCTGTCAGGCCTCGGGCTGTCTAGAGGCGGCCCTTGGCAACACCCTGCCGTCCACCAGGATGGCGGGGCCAGACAACATGGCCTTGTCGGGCCTGCTTCTGAAGAGTTCTGAGCCTCTCCCTGTCCCGCAGACCCACACCCCCTATACCCACACTCACACATACACACACACTCAGATCTGAAGCGCGGCTTTTATACCAGTCCCTTGTGCCACTGGGCCACCCTCCTCCCCTACCCCAGACCAGCTGGTATGGCGGGCAGCCCGAAGCAGTGGGGCAGCCCCCACCTACTTCCGGCCCAATGGACGCTTCCTGGATGGCGGGCTGCTGGCCAACAACCCCACACTGGACGCCATGACTGAGATCCATGAATACAACCAGGACTTGATCCGCAAGGTGAGAGCCACCTCAGGTCGGAGGGGACATGACTGCCCACTGCAGCCACCCCTGTTTCAGCAAATACTCCTACGGAGGGACTCCTCTCTAGAGAGCAATTTATTCATTTGTGCACTCAACAGCAATTTTATCTCACACTTGAACCTGCTGGATGGGTGGTATCTGCCTGAAGCACTGTGCTAAGAGGGATTCTGAGGCCCAGTCTGGCCTAGGTGGTGAAGAGTGTTATGATCAATTAACAGCATCTGCCGTGAGTGGGGAGGGCAGCATGCATTCCAGTACATGCCAGCCCCAGTGCTAACCGCGCTGTCCAGCCTGAGGACACACACTTGCCCTTGAGGAGCTCCCATCCAGGGGAGACAGTCCATACGCAAGGTCACGCCCCTCCAGGTGTCTCAGGTGCTGTGATAGAGGACTGTGCGGGGGCCCAGGAGGAGGACCACCTCTGCTGAGAGGCCTGGGGGCTCGGAAAGGGCTCACGGAGGAGGGGACCCCATCCTGAGGCCTTTGGGGACAGGACAGTGCAGAGTCAATGATTCGGAGGAAGAGAAGCAGCTCTCAGCCCGAGGAGGCTTGCACAGAGGTGGGCAAGGCCCCCGCGTGCCGGGAGAGGCAGTGTGGCGCAGTAGCGTGAGCTCAGGCCCTGGACCACGTGGCCTCTGGGTTTGGGTCCTGGCTCTGCCCCTGTTTCCCGTCAGCCACTGCCAGTGGTACTGACAGTCCCTGCCTGGGGACTGTCATGAGGCTTCCATGCGCTCTTATCTGTACGGTGTTTAGGTCAGTGCCTGACCCCAAGTGTGCCGTATCCTTGCTGGCCGGCTGTGGTCACTGTGGTCATCATGAAGCCCCGGTGCAGCCCCTGGCTAGTGGGGCAGGGGCTCGGCCGTGGAAGAGGCGAGCACTTTCTAGGGGCCAGGCGGGGCAGGGCGGACTTCCAGGAAGAGGAGGGACTCAGTGAGAGACTGGGATGGGGAAGGGTCCTTGGAAGATACAAGCTGCCTCCTATTGTGGAGGAGGAGCCTGGGTAGGTTCCAACAGCTTGGCAGCAGAGCTTGTTCTGGAGCAAAGGGGAGAGGCAGCACAGGCTGGATTCCTGCCCCAGAGGCCTGTCTCCCCTCCTGACGCTCCCCCAGGGCCCGGGCTGGGGACCTTTCACCCCTGGGTGCCCCCCACCCGAGGAGAGGTCCACCAGGGGAAGATCTCCTCCAACTACCCCTGTCCTGTCCCCAACAGGGTCAGGGCAACAAGGTGAAGAAGCTCTCCATCGTCGTCTCTCTGGGGACAGGGAGGTCCCCGCAGGTGCCCGTGACCTGTGTGGATGTCTTCCGTCCCAGCAACCCCTGGGAACTGGCCAAGACTGTTTTTGGGGCCAAGGAACTGGGCAAGATGGTGGTGGACTGTGTGAGTATGGGCCCCTCCCCAGACCACGTCCCTCAGGGTCTCAGCCCCAGGATGACACCTTCCTGGGGGACCCTGGGTGTCAAGGAGGCTCTGTTGAACCTCTTTAGCCAGCTCAGGGGAGGGGGTCCCCAATTCAGAGTCTCAGTGCTGGCAGGGACCCTACAGTGGGGGATTTCAAGCACCTTGTAGCTGTGGATCCCTTCCTTCAAATGCAGACCTGTGTGGAAGCCCAGAATATCAGATGGACAAAAGCTGCAGGGGGCGGGGACGTGGGGGAGGCCTGTCCACTCAGCCACTGCGTGTCCCCCCCACCCCCCTCACATGCTCACTGACCCTGAACGGGCGCTGCTGAGACACTGGTGAAAACCACAGACCGTGGCCCTCTGATTGCACAGCTGGGACGTCACTGCAGCCCAGGGAGGGGGCCTCACCCCATCTCTCTGCTGATGGGTGGCTGAGCCAGACTAGAACCTGGGGATCCGCAGGCAGGGGCTGTGGTGCCGTGTGTACTAGACGCTCACGAGGGCTGCTTTTCGCCAGTGTACAGATCCGGATGGGCGGGCCGTGGACCGGGCCCGGGCCTGGTGCGAGATGGTCGGCATCCAGTACTTCAGGTGAGGGCTTGGCCAGCACCAGCCCTGGCCCCCCGGCCCCGGCCCCCAGCCCCACACCCTGGCCAGACCTGGAGACCTTCCCCACCCCAGCCCATGGCATTGACCTTCCCTTTCCCCAAGTCCTGGCTCTTGGCCCCCACCTGGGCCAAGCATCCTGGGGTGACCCCTCCTTGACGCGGACAGATTGAATCCCCAGCTGGGGACAGACATCATGCTGGACGAGGTCAGCGATGCAGTGCTGGTCAATGCCCTCTGGGAGACCGAGGTCTACGTTTACGAGCACCAGGAGGAATTCCAGAAGCTCGTCCAGCTGCTGCTCTTGCCGTGAGGCAGCCAGGCCCCCAGCCGCCCCCTACCCCACCCATCCACCCACCCAGCCCCTGCTGCGGAGGCCTGGCCAGCTGGTCAGGGCCAGGCCCAGGCAGCTCTGCGTCCACAGACTGGCCTCCGAGGGGCTGGGCTTCCGGCCTGAGGCGGGTCCTGAGGCCTCTCTCCCCCTGTCCTCACCTTCTGGCACTTTTTGTCATTCCAGGCTTACAAAGCCTAGAGCCTCACTCGGGCCTCTCCCTGACCACCAGGGACAACTGATTCAGGCCCTTCGCCTTGTCGGTTCCAACACTAAGGGCGCCTGGGTGTGCCCCCAGCCCGGCTTCACCCCAGCCCAGCCTCCCAGAGGGCGCTGGGTTCTTCCAGGTTCCCTGGGGGTGCAGGACCTCTGCCACCCTCTGCCCTCTTCCCTGGGGACGGGGCTAGAGGAGAGGCTGTCTCCCACCCCGTCAGCAGGGGAAACCCAGGCTCCCAGAGTTGGGGCGCCCCATTCGACTTTGTCCCTCAACACACGCCCAGCCACCTGCACCCCTCAGAGCTGCCCCACCCCGCGAGCTCTCCTCGGCTCTCAAAGGTCGTCGCTCCTGTGACTTAAGTTATTTTTCCTGACAGGAAGTAGTTTATGAGTGGGGAGGGGCCCCCAGGGCTGCCCCCAAACTGTGAAATAAACTGTCTGATTCCAATTCTCCTGTGTTGTGTGCACTGTTGTGTGAGTGCCCCGTTCCCCCGCTACCAGCTCCCCTCAGCCTTGACTGTCATCTTCCTGTGCCCACTTGGACGGACGCTGTTTCCCCCACTCCCCAGGGCGGGGACACCTCTTCTCTTCTCCAAGCCTCCCCACATCAGGCCTGTGAGGGTGTTCAGAGGCGGCAGCTAGGCCCACTTGCCCCGTGGTGGGGGGCGAGGGAGACCCCCATTTGCCAGGGGGAGGGGATGAGACCCAGAGAGGGCAGAGTGCTCGGGCTGGCCACACAGCGAGTTAGCAGGGCCAAGGTTTGTCCCCTGGTCTGTGTGACTCCGGGGTTTGTGCTGTCCCCTCTCCAGCAGGCAGAGGAGCTGGGCGGGCAGCAGCAGACGTGGGCGCCTTGGTCCTTGAGGTGCAGGTCTGAGGGGCCCAGAGTAGAGAGAGGCCCTAGAACAGTGACTACCCACTCGTGCGCTCGGCCTCCAGGGGCTGGTCTGTCAGAGAGCGTCCTGGAGGAGGGCGCTGCGCAGCTGTAGCCCGATAGGGTGGGCAATGCCCAGTGCAGTACAGGCGGGCAGGGGTCCCCCCGGAGCCAGGGGTCCCGGCTGGCCTGGGGAAGCCTCGTCCTCGGGGAGGAGGTAAACTAGGAGAGTGGCCCGTCCACGCGTGCTCAGAAGGGTAAATAATTGAAGGGCAGGTCACATGAACCCACCCGCGTCACAGGATGCCTTCCCCGCCGGGTCTGGTTACGCCCCAGATCGCATTCTGACATCCCTGGCTGGTGAATAATTAAGCTGCCACCTCCTCCTCGGCCGGCCCTCCATCTCCGGGTCCCATTCTGCAGCCTCCTTCACTCCCGCTGAGCAGTGGGCAGCCGAGGGTACCAACCTCCAGTGCTCCCAGCCCTGCCAGCGCCACCAGCCTCCTGCTCCGCACCCGGCTGCAGCCCGCTCATGGCCCCCGAGATGGACCAGTTCTACAGGTCCACCATGGCCATCTACAAGGTGAGCGCGTGTGCAGCCCAGGCCCAGGGCTGGAGCACCCCTCCCAGGGCGCGAAGGTCGGGCCTGCTCGGGAGGACAGAGGGTGAGCATGGCTGCGGCGTGTCTGGGACGGAACGCCGGGACCCGGGCTGGGCTGCGCTGTGGGCATGGGGTTGGGGCTCCCCGGGGCAGTCAGCCACCCTGGCCCCAGCCTGAGGCTTCCAGGGCACAGGTTTGTCCACAGTCCCCCGGTGGGTGACAGGCCTGCTGAGATGGCACTCAGCAACTCCTGAACAATAGGCAGGCAGGACAAGGCCCAGGGTGGCTGTAGCTTCGAGCAAGGGGCCCGAAGAGCCATGTGGCCCAGGAGTGGGGAGTTTCTCTCTCTCCGTCTCTGTCTCTTTCTCCGTCTCTCTCTCATCTCTCTGTCTTTCTCGTTTCCGAGCCCCTCATTCAAACTTCCTACTTCCCTCCAGAGGGGTTGCTGCAGTCGCCACAGACATTTATTGAGCACCTCTTGTATGCAGGACCCTTTCCCATGTAAGCCTCACAGCATCTTCCCTGTGGGGTAGAACATAATCACGCCGTTTGATAGATGAGAGAACTGAGGCGAGAGAGGTTAAACAGCTTATTCAAGGTCCCCAGGAGGGGAAGAGGGGCCGCTGGGGTTTGAACCAAGAGTCCAGTCTAAGTCCAAGCCCAGAGCCATCCTTACCACCCAGGGTGCTCTCCAGCTGACCACAGCCTGGAGCGGTCCGGGTGACGCCCCCGCCCCCAACCTTGCTTCCAAGGGGTTCTTCTTTGAGGGCAGAGTCTGCCCTTGCCCCTGAAGGGACTGTCAGCAGCCCACATGTCCAGCCCAGTGAGGCTGGACTCAGGGCAGGGTTGAGCCTCGCCCAGCTGGGGCTGCGACAGACAAGGCTTCAACCCAGTGGGAGGAGGAGAAGCTTCCAGGTGCATCGTCTTGAGAGCAATGTTCTGCCAGGCCACATGTGTGAGCAGGAGCTGGCCACAGGGCCCCTGGCCTGGAACAGGGCCCCGGGAGATGGCCTCTGAGGGCCCTGCAGCCGAGAGCCAGGCTTCTGGGTGACTGCAGGCTTCTAGGTGGCTCCCCCAGAGTCTGGCTTCTCACTGGGGCTGGGGGTGCCATGCTGCTGAGGCCTGGTGACTTGCCTCTGCCCATCATTCCTTCTTCCTCTCCCAATCCCACCCCCTCCCCTTGCCCTCGGGGTCTAGAGCATCCTGGAGCAGTTTAACCCTGCCCTGGAGAACCTGGTGTACCTGGGGAACAACTACCTCCGGGCCTTCCATGGTGAGTGCCTGGCCATGGGGCCCCCACCCTCCGCCTGCCCTCCCACCCGGCCCCGCCACACTGACACTGTGCCCCCACCCGTATTCTCTGCACCCACACCAGACACTCTGCTCATCCTCACCCTTACACACTCCCACCCACCACCCTCACCCTCACACCTCTGCGGCCGGGGACCCCTCACACACCCACACCCTCCTGTGCCCGCCCCCTCAGGTGCCCCCCAGATGCTCCCAGAGATGCCGTGTCAGGCCCTGCAGGCCTTCCAGCCCCAACTACACACGCTTCTACATGTCACCTCGATGCTGCCCAAAAGCCCACTGCTGCACCCTGGCCCACCCCTGCACCCCAGCATCACACCGTGGCTGTTCGTCCTCACCCTGACCGGTCCCCCCATCCACACACCTGAGCCGAACCTCACCACTCAGCCAGTGCCCATGCAAAGAGCCACCCCCGCCCCCACTTCCCACAACGCCCCCTGCACCAGAGCTAATCAAGAGATGGTCGCGAACCCTCTGTGGGATGGACAGGCCAGGGACACACCCAATCCCTCCCTGCCTTTTAGGACTTCAGAGTCTGAGCCTGCTTTGCCACACCAGCTCCCCGAGTCCACCCCTCACCCCCGGCCCCACCCCCACCCCCACCCCTGCACCTCACAACACAGCTGCCCACACCCACCTTATGGGCACACACCCGCTCGGCGCCAGGCCCTGCCCCACAGAGAGAGCTACCCCTGCTCTATGCCCCCTCTCCTCTGGCCACTGCCACGTCTCCACACACACCGCCCGGGGCACCCCTGCTCTCACCTACCCCTACGCCACATCCCACAGGGTCCCCCACACCCTCCTGTTGGAAGGAGGGGTCTCCAGAAAGGTGGGGGCAGATGGAGGAGGGGCCGGGCTGGACCCATCCCTTCTCCCCACGCAGCGCTGTCCAAGGCCGCCGAGGTGTACTTCAGCGCCATCCGGAAGATCGGGGAGCAGGCCCTGCAGAGCTCCACCTCGCAGATTCTGGGTGAGGCGCCCCCTCCACCACATCCCCTGCCTTCTTGGGCCTGGGGGCACTCCTCCGAGCCCCGCCTCCTCCTGCTGTCCAGGCCCCACGCCTGTCTCCCTGCTGCCTCCCCTCAGGCCCGGGGCCTGTCTTGCCCCCCATCCTGGGGTCCCAGAGGGGGCTCCTTTTAGGTTCTTGCCTTTCCAGGAAGTCCCCCCCAAGACAGGTTGCAGCCCAGGGTCCAGAGCCCAGACTCGTGTTCTGGAGCCCAGGCCCCTCCCCACCACTCCCTGCACGGCTGTTCCAGGGTGGGACGAGCGCTGCCAGAGTCCCAGAGCCATATGGGGAATCCCTGGACTTTGGTCCCAAGCTCCAGCCCTGGGCAGCCCCCCTCTGGCAGCTTCTGGCGGGAAGGGGGTGTGGGGCAGGCTCCCCCGCCGCAGCCGCGCTCTCTGGGCCTCCAGGTGAGATCCTGGTGCAGATGGCGGACACCCAGAGGCACCTGAACTCTGACCTGGAGATGGTGGTGAGTATCAGACCCCATGGCCCCGAGGGCCCGCTCCGGAGAGTGGGCTGCGTCCCAAGGAAGAGGTGGGCCCGAATTCCCACACCCTTTCTCAGGGAGGACTTCCTGGGGCCCTTGTGGGCACCTGCCAGGGCCGGGCTCCACTGGGCACGTTTACCTGCAACATCCTGCTCAAGCCTCCAGCACCCCTGGGAGGCAGGTGCCGTTTCTATCTCTATTTCACAGAGGAGGAAATCGAGTCTCAAAGATCTAGTCACTTGCCCAAGACTCCAAAGCCAGTGGAGGAGCTAGAAAGAGAAAGGACTGTTGCCCAGGTGCATCAGGTCCAGGTCCCTGTCCCCCACCTGCCTCCCGGCCCCACCCTCCACTCTCCCAGGGAGCAGCGGGCCATCTGACCTTGTCACGCCAAGAGGAAAAATCCTTCCACGCCCCTGCCACCCACAGAGCTAAACCCAGGCTCCTCAGTGAGCGATTCCAGGCCCTGCTGACTCAGCAGCCTCCCTGTGGCACCCCAATCCCAGCCCGGCCACCCTGAGGAGCTGCCCCTTAGACCCAGCCTGGTGTTCCACCCCTGGGCTGCTGTCCTGCTGCTCTCTCAGCCTAGAACCCCCACCAGCCCTGCGTCCAACACAGTCGCCCTCCTCCGTGAAGTGCCCCCTGACCCCTGGGCAGATTCAGTCCCTCCTTTCTCCAGACTCAGATGCTTCTATCCGTTCTTAGCACGTAGCGGTTCAGAAAGCGAGCTCTGCCGCCAGAGCACCTGGGTTCAAAGCCCAGCTCCACCAGTTACTGGCTTTGTGACCTTGGACAGGCTACTTAACCTCTCTGTGTCTCAGTTTATCTGCCTGTAAAATGGAGACAATCATAACAACTGCCTTGTAGGATTCTTGTGAGGATTAAGTGAATTAATAGCATAAACTGTTTCCCTGGCACTGGCAGCCCTCCGTGTATCTGAGCGATGATAATTAGAAGTAGAATCGACTGCCCTGTCTGTATCCCTGCCAAGACTGGGAGCTCTGACGGGCTGGGCCGAGGTCTTCTCTCTGCAGCTCCAGGGCCTGGATGGGCCTGGCACCGGGTAGGGCTTCACTGACTGTGGGGGCAGAGAATGAGCTTTGAAAAGGGAGGGGGCTTGGCCAGAGGGAAAGGAGAAGAGGGGGCACTCCGAGGGGGTCCATTGGGCTGAGCATGCAGGGAGCGTAACATCAGGCAGACATGAGCCAGAGACTGGGAGTGAGGGCAAAGGGAGAGAGGTGGGTGGGCCCAGAAGGTGAGGGGCCTTGGAAGGTTCTGAAGGAAATTTCAACTAATTGTGACAGTGCCTGCTTCTCAAACTCGTGTGGGGGGAACCCCTGGAAGTCAGGGTGCTCTTTGGGGGACCCCATAACATGCTCATCAGTTTGGGTACCGTGTCGAAATGGGGAACAATTTGACCAGCAGAAAATGTGTCCCGTCTCCCGGTCACTTGGAGGTGGAACACTAAGCCTGGGCCACATCCTGGGCCTTGGGCAGGGGGGAGCTTATGAGCACGGCTCACACTGGCAGCCTGTGACTTCCTGTCCTTGTGTTTGATGGCTCTCCATGTCACTTGTGGCGCACCTGGTCTGGACAGGGATGAGTGCCACCCTGGCCTGCTCTGTAAGGAGAGCTGCCCTCTCCGGGCACCAGTGTCTTGGCTGTGACAACCGGGCGGGGCCCTTGGCCAGAACTGTCCCGGCTGAACACACTAGCAGCCACCTCCCCTTGGGCTCACTCATTCAACAGCTGTTTACTGCCATGTGCCAGGTACTGCTGTAGGCACTGGGGACACAGCAGACAAAATGCATGCCCGCCCAAAGAGGGGAGGCAGACAAAGCCCAAGACAAATAGTGAGTATGCGTGTGACAGGCTGGATGCAAACTATGCCGTGGAGAAAATAGAGCAGGGGAGGGACAGGAAGTGCTGGAGGGACGCAGTTTGTAACAGATGCTCAAGGAAAACATCACTAGAGAGGTGACACTGAGAGAAGGCCTGAAGGAGGTGAGGGGGTGAGCCAGGGGGACTCACCTGGAAGAGAGTTCTGGGCAGAGGAACAGCACGTGGAGAGGTTGGAGGAGTGGAGGCAGCGAGGGCAAGTGCGGAGGAGAGGGTCAGCCATTGACAGGGGCCTTGTCGGGACTCTGGCCATTTCCCCAGTGAAAGGGGCACTTTAGAGGGTGTTGAGGAAAGGAATGGCAGGATCTGGAGTTAAAAAAAAAAAAAAAACAACCGTTTTTTATTGTAAACTAAAACAGATACTGAAAATCTCACTGAGCAAATTAGAGCTTATTGAATCATTTCATTATAAGGCAAACTACCCTTGAAACTACGCCCGGGTCGTGGACTTTGCCAGCCTCCCCAGAAGCCCCTCCATGTGCCCCATCAAAGTCACAGCCCCTCCCTCCCTCCATCCCTCCCTCCAAAAGTGACCACTGGCCAAAAGTGACCAAGGCTCTGTCACTTCCTTGTGTGCCTTTGTAGTTGATCATCCACGTGTATGTCCCCAGACACCAGGGTTTGGTCTTGCTCTGTTTTTTTTTTTTTAATATGTCTCTGAGGCTCTTAATCTGCTGGTTCCCCTCCATCCTTTTCCTTACGATTTGTCTCTTGAAGGCCCTGAGGCCTTTTGACTGCTTGGTTTTCCCACAGACTGTGGGTCGCTGATTGCACACTCCTGGTGCAGTTCAGCTTGTTCCTCTGTCCCCTGGATCCGGAGGCCTGATCAGACTGAGGTTCATCCCTTTGGCAAGACTAGAGGGGTGCTGGGTTCCTCCATTGGGAGGCATGTCACGTCTGTGGCCATGTGACGTGAACAGCAGTGGAGGCTCAATGTGTCTATATCTGTTCATACATATACTTGTTGTTGTTGTTGTTGTTGTTGTTGTTGTTGTTGTTAGTGCTGCCGAGTGGATTCCGACTCCTAGGGAGCCTTTGGACAGCAGAGGGGAGCCCTGCCCTGTCTTTTTGCTCCGTCCTCTCACCTCCAGTGCTGTATCAGACAATGCTCCCCTGCTATTCTTAAGGTTTTCATGGCCAATTTTTTCAGAAGTGGGTGGCCAGGTCCTTCTTCCTAGTCTGTCTGGTCTGGAGGCTCCGCTGAAACCTGTCCCCATGGGTGACCCTGCTGGTACTTGAGATACTGATGGCACAGCTCTCAGCATCACAGCAACACGCAGCCCTCACAGTATGACAACTGACAGACAAGTGGTGTGGTTCCCTGACCAGAAACGAACCCGAACCCGGCGGTGAGAGAACCGAATCTTAACTACTAGATACCAGGGCTGGCTATTCACGCACTGGGAGTTACAAAATGATGCTATTCCAATGCTCTTTCACTTACTAACTGGATTATTTCTATAAGAGTAGCTTGTCCTCGTCTGCTATTTGTTAGCCAGTGGCGCGTTTCATGTGGGAAAGGCAGATAAAGGCGTATTCACTCCCTTTACTTATCCTGTCATCCTCTGAAGGTGACCAATTAGCTTTCTGTATTTTATTTTATTATTTATTTATTTTATTTGTTGGTGAGGAAGATTGGCCCTGAGCTAACGTCTGTTGCCAGTCTTCCTCTTTTTGCTGAGGAAGATTGGCCCTGAGCTAATGTCTGTGCCCATCTTCCTCTATTTTGTATATGGGACGCCGCCACAGCATGGCTTGATGAGTGGTGCATAGGTCCACAGCCAGGATCCGAACCTGTGAACCCCGGGCCACTGAAGCAGAGCGCTCGAACTTAATCACTACACCACCAGGCCAGCCCCAGCTTTATTTTGTTTTTTTACTAGCACCATTATTGAAGTATGTTTTAGTATCATCAGTATCATAGATTTAAATATACTCAATGTGTTTCAATCCTTTGCCAGTATTATCTTTATTTGAAGTTGAAAATGTCCCCTCTTTGGCCAGTGGAAGCCTCTTCAGCCTGGCTCCTGAGTCCTTTAGGCACTACCCTTGTGGTTCGACACCTTCCTTGCTATCTAGATGAGATGTTCCTCGTCCGGAACCTTTTCTGCTCTAGACATGGAATCAGCCATCTCTCCACAAAGCCTTGTTTGTATTTTTTGTGTTTGGTGGAAAGTGGTATTTCAAGACCATAATCTGGGCACTAGGGGTGTTCATTGCTGCTGGGTTGATCATTGTTTCTAGGCCTTTTCAGTGACCAGTGCTACATGTACATACATATGTATATATAATATAGATGCATATATATATACACACACACACATAGATACATACATAGGTACATACTATATACAATGTATATATTTAAAGATAAAATACTTCACAAGTTCATACCGATACTTCCAATTCCGATTCCGCACTGCAAAATTTTTCCTTAACCTCTTCAATATTACACCAGATTCTTCTTTGTTCCGCGTCAAGAATCCTGACTCTCAAGGAGACAGAGAATGAAAAAATTGGGATATCCCGTAATTACCCCTTTGCTTTATCTCCCATTACATACACAACAGTTTCTGAACAACATTACTAATTCCTCCACCACTGATACGGTTTCTAAAACAGTTAAAATGTGTGTTGCATTAGCTCTCCTCGTTCTCTCCCTGCTTTGAAAGTATCTGTCCTGTGTCCACTCTGTCGCAGTGCAGAGCCCTCACGGACCTTGCCTGCCCTCCTTTAGCCTCCCTGCTCTTCCTTTTCACATAGGTACATGTGTAATGTGCACCACCAATCCTTAGGTCAAGGTCTCACTGGTTGTTTCAGTTGTCTGAAACTTGTTCTCGACAGTCCCCACAGGACGGGCTCGTGTGAACAATGATCTCTGAGTTCTGACATGGTGCTAATAGTTTGTCTCTTCATACTTGACAGTCAGTTTTGCTGGATACAAAATCCTTGACACATTTTCTTTCTTCCTTTCTTTCCTTCCCTCCCTTCCTTCCTTCCTTCCTGCCTCTTTCCTTCCTTCTTTCTCTCTCTGATTCTCTCTCTTTCTTTCATTTCTGAGTATCTTAAATATGTTTTTCTTCTGA